CGACGACCCACGCAATGACCCAATGAGTGTGCAGTGAGCCCAGCGACAACGACAGCTTTTGCAGTGACTCTGAGAAGGGGCTAACTTGGAGAATAAGTTTGCTGCATTTTGAGTTATTGGCAAAGAAGGAATATATGTCCTGACTGGAAAGAGATTGATTATTCTCTAATTGGCTAAGAATCCTAAGAGCATCTCCAATGCTCTAATGTTTTTGTAGAATGATTTTTTACAAATGTCAATAAATTAAATGGATTGTGAACCATATAGAAAAAATGTTAGTTTTCAACTATGAAATTAAAAAATTACCTCCAATGCACAATGTAGTCTAACTACATTTCTATTTATTTACCAAATGTAAAAGTTTATAATATATAACAAGAAAATTAATTAAATAATTAAATTGTTTGGAATTGGTAAGAATTATTCTCTCTCTTCTCATCATTAGCTAGCCAGAATGTAGATGAACCACATTCATCTATACATTGCAGACATTAATTATGTCCACATCATCAGAACATTTGTGTTCACATTTTACGTTAGAGGATGAAAAGTTGTAATACTGCTAAATGTGTTAATGTGGAATGTAATTTCCGCAACATTTGAGCATTGGAGATGCTCTAAATTGTCATAATAGTGGATATCTTATTTTCATGTTCTATTATATGCTATTAATTGTTTAGATATGTTTGTGAATTAATTAACACTGTCAAAATTGCATGGGAATTGACTATAAAAACGAAAAGCCAATTAATTAATTAAATAGCTAAGGTGACATGTGAATTAATTTGTGCTTGCGTATTAAAAATCCCCTATTTAAAATACTAAGTGGGAGAAGAAAATTTTAAAGTACGATAATTTTAATTATTAAGGTCTCTATTTTTGGTTTGTAAGTGAGTAATTTTTTGGATATGTGGACCCCGCCTAACCTAGGACATTACTGAAAATTAATAATAGGATCACAAGGACGAACTTCAATTATGGTGATTGTAGGAAGTTATGTTTAGAGCTTAGGACCTCGTCTAACCAAAGACTATAATCTTTCATTACTCTACAATTTATTTACTTATTAATTTTCCATTATTCTTATATTTTATGTATTTGATTTATCTTACAATTAATTATTTGGCAAAGTTGTTCCACTAAATTTATAAAAAAGAATAAAAATAATGTACAAAAATAGTATTTTTTTTGTCGAATAATATTTCGAACTAGTAGCAGACCAACTAACATCGTAAAAATATTTATTTTTATAAAATAATATGTAAAATTAAATCACATTTTGGAATGCTAAAAAATTCAAATAATATGAATAATACATGTGGAATAAAATGTAACGCAAACGATTGATGACCAAGCACGAATTTTGTTTCATTCTACTCTAGAATAAACTTTTACACTAGAGTAGATATAAAGGTTGAAGATGGTCTTATATACATTTTCACTATTCCAGCACCAGGAATCATATTTATTACAACGCTACCCTTCATATTAACACACTTGTCTTACTTCTGCTTAGGTATGTTTAGTTGAACAAAGCGGACGAGATGAAAGGGATTTTAATGGAAGGAAGAATGAGGGGAAGTGATGAAAATAATTTACCTTTTTTGGAGGGATTTATTAGGAGGGGATAAGAGGAAAAATGAAAAACTTTATTTGGTTAAAACAATGAAGAATAAAGAAAATAAAGTTGAAATGACAAATTTATACTTAACGAGATAAGAGAAGGAAAATTAAAAACACTAAGAGTAAGATAAAGATGGTCAATTTATACTCAATTAAAACTCCCCTCCAAATCCTTCCAATTTTGGAAGCAAGGAGTAAATATGTGCTGCCTAGGAAACTCATCTTATCACAGCATCAAGTGCATGTATGGAACATTGAAAAATCATTTATGCACTAGACTTCAGATTTTGCTAAATCATCATAAAACAGCGAAAGAAAAAAAAAAAAAAAAAAAAAAAAAA